CACCCTTCTATAAAAAAAAAAAACCCCCCCCCCCCCGACCAAAAAAAAAAATAAAAATGATCCCGCTCTCCGTGAACTCCATGACCGGTTTCCATTCACATACCCCGTGAACGGTGAACGATGTTACGACACTGGTTGAGTATAAATTGTATGTATAGGAATCTGAATACTAGGACCTGCCGATAACCCTCCTGTCAATGGCATACCTAGGGAAGCGGCTTGGACCGATGTTGGAGATGTATATGGGGATACTCCAGTCACCGGTGGGACAAAAGGAGGAGGTTGTACTGTAGGCCAGACATCAGGCCCTGATGGTGATGGTGCTGCCTGAGCTCGCCCGACCAATACGGCTAGGCTCTGCTGGATGTCCTGTAAGAGAGCCGTCTGGTGGTCCTGCATTTCTACTACATCTAGCAGGACGGTCCTTAGGATCCTCACATTATTATCCATGTGCGTCAGATCCATCTCCTCTAACTCACTCACGCCCGCTTGTCTGCGTCTGCGCTGTATCATGGCTCTTCTTCTAATCATTTTCTCCTTCTCTGCCTTGATCTCTCCTAACGCCTGTTGTAGCTGTGCCTCGCGAATAGCTGATCGCTGTGTGACGACCTCCTCGGGGGTCAACACTATTGGCCGACTTGCCATAACGCCAGTAGACTGACCAAGGGTCTGTGCGACCATTGACCCTACAGTCCCTGAACTACTAGCTTGAGAGCTCTGCTGCGCAGAAGATGCCATGGCTGCTAAAGTAGCGGCCTCACTCGCGAATGCCCTGCTTGCCTCTGCGGCCCTAGCCCTCCGCTGCTGCTGCCGTCTCTCCCTCTGCTGGCGGAACAAGTGTCTGTCGCCCTCTGGTCCTAATGCCAAGTGGGCTATCGGGCGTATTGCCGATCGCAAGATCCTATCGTTCGGTTGTGGAACCTCTCTATCACTCATAGACTACAACACTGTACACTGTCTACACTAGGTCACTCTCGATGCCTACCGCAACATGATGTACAGACCGATTTAACAATCATCGGCGGTTATGTCAGAGACTATACATGTTACATGCCCCGTTGGGCGATGTACATAAATAACCGAGGATCCGCAATGTGATGAAAAGGACCGAATGGACAAATTGAATGCAGTGCAAGTGAAATCTCAACAAGCCCTACTGATCTCGCGGACATCCTCCCTGGGTCATAACCCCCGACATCTCTCCAACCCCTAAAAAAAAAAAAAAAAAATCTCAACAAGCAGTCTACATCTTGATACATACCAAAATAGTGCTTTATAGCGCAGTGGAAGACTTAGATATAAGTCTTGACCTGACTGGGACAGAACTCTATCATGTAATGCAAGACAGCGCAACAAAATGCTAGAATACCAATGACTAGCCCAATCAATGTCACAACGCAGACCAAACATACATCATCGTCATCACAAGGTGTGAAGGGGCCGGGCGCTGCACACAGGAAGAATGCGGCAGGTCCAGATCACGCACAGACAAAGAGGAGGGAATCAGACGAAGAAGAGGGGGGGAGATGAGAATGTCGTCAACACCAAGTCTTCGTTACAAGTCCCAAATAATCCCTCGTCAAAATGTTTGAAACCCAATATCGAGTCTGGATCCAATTGTCACCAATCCCGCTCTCTTGTAGTTTGTTGATGCAGTGAAGTCAGGTAGCGAGAGGGTGAGAGGGAGATGGTGGACCGAGAAGAGGAAGAAGAAGAATTATCTCTCTCTCCCATGTGTCAGGTACTAACCTGTGAAGATGGCGCTGTGCTGCAGGTACCTCGAAGACGAAGCTGGAACTATGGCGCTGCAACCTGCAGGTAAGTCTCCCTGACCTCCGCCCAATCTCTCTCAGAGTCTCTCCCCAGTACTACTCTAGCTCCTACTAGCGCCAAACGCTGAAGAGTCGTGAAGACTACTGCTAACGCTACTAACGCCCAGCGCTGAAGACTACTGCTAGCGCTACTAGTACTACTCTTGCAGCGCTCCTCCAGAGTGCTACTGCCGAATCCTGAAGACAACCTCCTGCCTCCTGAACTGCATATGAAGTGCCTGCGAAGTACCTAGGAACTACCTGCAGCCTGCAGGGCGGGCCAGTCCTTTATAGTGCTGGCCCGTCCAAGAGGCTGCTCTTGCCAATGCCGAAACGTGCCAGACCCTGGCGTTGAAGCTCAACCAAGGGTTGTCTTGAAAACAGGCCCAAAATGGTCCTTCGTTTCAGGCTAAAAAGACTCAGGGCCGGAAAGGCCCTATTTTAGGCTGAAACGACACAGGGCCTGTAGGGCCTTGTTTTCAGGCTTTCAGGCTGAAAACGACACGGGCTTGAAAATGGTCCGTGCAGCCTGTTGCAGGTGCGTTTGGGTCCAACAGGTAAGTTCAGACTCCTCCAAACGAAACTATTTCTACTTTGACTAGTTCACAAACAGAAAGCACGATGAACAGAGAACAATTCTTACTATGCTGCCTGTCAGATGTTAATGGTTGCACATCTTACTAATCAAAATAAAAATAGAATCATTTGATTCGTTGTTTGCAGAGTGGAATCTTTCTCAAACTTATCACCTGGAATCTACCCCTCCCGCAGTTTTTCCTCAATGTCGTTCATTTTTTATTTTTCGCGCGAAATTGAAACTCCATTTTATTTTGATTTTTGTATGTAATTTATGAAGTCTTTTATGGGTATAGGGTCAGGGGTCAGGGGTAAAAGGGTAAGGGGTAATATGGGTAAGGGGTAAGGGGTAAGGGGTACGAGATCATCTAAAGTAACACAGTAATGGTGTTCAATCGGGCATGTCGCATTGTTGCTTTGTTAAATACATTCGAACATGTTCATGGGTGTCTATCCAGCAGAGCCAATGAACTCTTTACATTTGCAAAAAAAATGAATAAATATTTTGCTTTGATAATGTCGTCTATCAAATGTCCTTTGTTGCACAACTAACTCCTACTTCGGTGTGACAAGTACATCTAAAGCGATCCGTCCCCTTATATTGTGGATGTCGTCGGAAGAGAAGTTGAATGGCGGAAGAAATCCTCTTGCCAACAGTGACGCATATGTTAGCATAAACACACCACATTCGTTAATGCCGCGCTGTCTAGGAATGCCTGACACATTCCATGTGTGGTTGAAATCTTTTGTATCCACCACCTTACCTTGTTCAACCGATCTTTTGAACAAGAATCTTGCGAAACCACCTGTCACTTTCCTTGCCAATTCTTTGTCAGGGGTAAGCGAGTCGTAGTACTCCATTTTCTGGCGCCTTAAGTCTGTTATTACTAGTGTCCAATGGTTGGACATCTGGACATGGAATGGAGCTATTATTAAGTCCACGTCACCCACATCGATATCTGTCATCCACTTTTGCACTGCGCTATATTGGTATTGCATGTCGTCGTCGAACAATTTCGCGAAGAAGAAGGAATTAAAAATTGTTGTTATCGGGATGCGCCATTTTCCTTCTAGTACGGTTCCGTCTTGTTCACTATCACACTGGCGATGACTTATGCGACACATGTTGTCAAGCCTAACGAGGTTCAAATAAAAGTTAACTATGTCGGTGTTCAACCAATTGCCTTGAAACAGTATCAACCTCAAATCATGCCCGGTTAGTGTTAGTTCTTATTTTGTTGCCCCGTTGTACGTGGATGTCCAGACCGTTCGATTCTCCGCTTGCACTGAATCTCGTAAATGTTGCACCGCGACCGTCTCCTTCTCCGATAACTTATCCGTTGCTAAGCGGATCGTCCATCCCTGTTTGCATCTTCGTACTTCTTCTATGTTCCTCATTTCTGCACATGACAATGCATTATGCGCCAGCGTAAGCTATCGTTATTGGGGTCTGCCATATTTGCATGCTGGAAACGACGGAGAAAATTTCAATTGCTAAATCCTGGCAACAGGATACTATAGCGAGTTGACATGAATACCCCGGCCTCCGTCTTCCTCGTAATATGCCGCATAACACAACTACAAATTTTTCTAATTTTCGTGTATTTTTTTAAAGCAAATCGATCAATGATACTTATCGCGATCTATGGTGGTTAACGGTAACCCTGTTTCCATCTGTTCTCTGATGTTCATGTCCACTACTCTTGGCAATATTTTGATTACAAGTTCACTACTCCAGCCTTGTTGTTTCGCATATTTTCACGTTTTTTTTTTTTTCCATTTCATTATTATGATTTCCTTTTTTCAAGTTCGTGGGGATTTAGGTTAAGACGACCATTCGCAGTGCGCTAGAAGATGGCATAACAAGTTCTCTGATATTAGAGGTGCCCTTGACACATGGCAGGCAAAGTGCCCCATATAGTGTGTTTTCATATGCCTTTATTATAAAACTGTACCAAGCACGCGCAAACACTTTAATCCACACACAGAACCCAATGCTGCTGATGAGTCCACCTCTGCCTATTCACATACACACACACACACACACACACACACACACACACACACACACACACACACACACACACACACCTATGTATCGAGATGGGGCACCCTCTATAATCGACAGTGCCATTTCGAGAATTGCAGTGTCAAAACAACACTTCCATTAAGACAACAATATAACCCAAAACACGTTTACACCCATTCCTGTCTAACATAGTTTTCTAACATAGTACCCAGCGACAACCTATCAATTTAACAAGAAATGCGTAGAAACCCCATGTGAGGACCGGGTGAATATCGCATCATGATTTGTGGCGCCACATCAATATAACCTGAAACGTGTAAACGCCCATGCTCGTCTAAGGCTTTCCTACGCATCAAACACAATTTTCTTAATTATTGCTCTCGTTGACCGTCTTGGTCGTTGCACGTCCTTTTCGCCGTCACCTTCCACTCGTGGTGCAACGTGGTCATCTTTCTGGTCGTTATCTTGGATCATATCCTCGCCCGTACTCTCCGATTTCATATCTATTATGGAAATGTATTCGCGAGATCCCTCACCTTTCTTCGTCCCCTCTGTTGTTGCCGCCACCTGCTCTGGCGCCACCTTCACGGTATGGCTTTCAACATCCTAACCCGCATCGGTCTCCATCATTTCAGATACGCCTTGCCTCGCCGCCATTGTCGCGACAAGAGACCCAAAAGATTCAACGATTGTTGCCTCATCGTTGACCCCGCGCGTTGGCGGCTCTGTCAATGTGCCCGACTCCATGTCGTCGCCATCCTTGCGTATCACAGTGGAATCCCCCTTTGCGCTTCTCTGTGTGCTTTGTTGATTACATGCTCGCAACTGTTCATTCTGTATGTGACCTGCGTTCGCACGTGTGTCCGTTTCGCAGCCTGCATCCCCTCTGGCCATCGCAACAATGGTGTTAGACGCGATGACGTCTTGAGTCTTTAGAGAGGTGACGCTATCGATTCCTTGCACTGCTGACGCTTGTTTGATTTTCCAATCGATGGAGCCGTACGATACACTTGATGCAAGGTCGTAGAACTTTGTGCTGAATTCTAGTTGTTTGTTCGCACGCAGATGCTCAAACAAAGCTTTCGCCTTTGCAGCTACAGCCACCTCGGTTGCACTGACATTTTCTTGTGCAACCCACCGAAAAAGTTTCGTCTCCGTCACGCTGTGCCCTATCGCACCGTCCTTTCTTTCCTTCGTGACCCACCCGTGGTCTTTTGTCTTCACAGCCATTTGCCACTTGCCCGCAAACACGCACGGTTCGAACACGACCTCATGCCAGAGAATATGATGACCCCAGTCCTCCTCCGATGACTCCTTGTACTTGTCTTGCAGCAAGTATGGCATTGAAGGGTCTTGATCAAAGCCTTGAGGTAACGGTTTTCCTGGCACGAGCTTCGGCATGACAACTGTCATATCCATGTCTTCATCTTCATCTATGTCCATCGAAATGAGCGTTCGCTGCTCGGCCTGCGGTGCATGTGTCGATGATGGTCCAGCTGTCAGCGGGGTCATTTCGCACCCATTCTCTCCTCCCCCTGTGTTGCCCCGTGAGTTAATAATTCCCTCACTCGCACCCACCGGGTTCGTTGGTACACCATTCTTTTCTCCCCTTGCATTCATTCTATGTTCCACGTCTCCCTCACTAGCATGTGTCGCTCCCAAATTCGACCTCGCCTTCTCCGCATCTGCGTTGGTGCTCCCTTGCGGCTCCTCTGCACGTGCTCCCTGCGCCGAACGTCGTGTCGCGCACGACGGAACGTCCAGGTCGGAGTCTGACGTGTCTTCGTCACAATCGATGTTGTTGAAGTTCCCCGCTTTACGTGCCAAGTCTGTATAGTCCCTGCATGACAGTGCTTTTTTCTTCATATTGAAATACAGATGCTCACAACGTGCGACGAACATGTGGAAAACACCCATGTGCGATCCGTGGTACTCGTTCATTGCTATCTCGAGTTCACTTTTCCTCATGACGTAGTCGTTATCAACCGCCGACCGTAGAGCGTCACCGAACAAGTAAGCCCACACTTTCTCCCTCTTCCTGCCGAGCTTATAGTAAATGTCTCGGTCCTTGCGGTGCTCGACTTGGGGCTTTTCGAACCTGCATTTGTTCCTCTATCCTTCACATAAAACTCCAAAAACTTGGAAAGGTATGTGAGTTCTTTCGTCGTGTCGTCACACGCAAACACGTGGTGTCCGGCGCGAGCGAGTTCCCAAATCAGTCTCGCATGCGCCCTGCCCAACAGCATCACGCCATCGTCCTCCCTGATGAGCGAGCTGCACAGTTTTCGAAGACGTGCTGACTCTCGTTCCATCCAAGAATAAACCGCGTCGGTGTCGCCCTCCACACCGATACACTCCCCTGAGCACCTCACAAATTCACCCTCTTCAACGTTCAGATTTGTCAACTCGGCTCGGAATTTCGGCGCAGCCGTTATGTTGTCCAAATTGTCGTTCTCGACGTGGAGGACAATAGCCATCATGTCAGTGTACCGAACTGCAATGTTGCCGTACTTGTTCAAGGTTGTCGAAGGTGTATAGTGTCTGTACCATGACCCTGTGAGCACCTCAACATCATCCCAGTTGTACACACTCTGCATCACCTGTTTCTGGTGTTTCATCGACGCGAAAATGATCAAGGCCCAGTTTTCGCCACAGCATGTCATGAGGAAAGCGTACAGTTTGGAAAAGGCGTCATCATCCCACGGAACACATTTTGGTGATGTTGATATATCAAGAATGGTTGCCCGTATCTTCATCCCCCTCGTCATACCAACAACCTCCTCGTTGTCCGTGAGCACTCCCTTCGGTTCGATTTCAAATGGCAGGATCGTGGTAATCCTCTTCCCCACTTCCCAAAAGATGTGACAAGCACTGGAGGATATCCGATTAACCTCCGCTTTCAGGTCGTCCAAGCAGTCGATTGCCTCGTAGATGAAACACTTGAGGTGGAATGGGGTTTCCTTGTACATGCCTTGGGTTGCCACCAGTCCCGCACCGTTCTCACCATTAATCTCATCAGGACCGCCCAAACGCCTCGGCACCTTCCTCGCCTTGTCGTCAGGGATGCGGTCGCGTTCCTCGGTCCATTTCTCGTCCGTCAGATCGTTTTTGTTGTACCTCTCCAAGATGGTCGTATAACCGATGAAAAAGTCAACGCTCCACTCTTCTTTTGACCTCCCCTCTACATTGAACAATATGTAGTTGAACATATGGACCATATATCTTTCATGCCGAGTATATTTAACCAGGTCCGCCATGTTGCATCTACCACGAGGTACCGAACGTGATGTCATGATGACATCACCACGCATCATGTGGTGAAGCGCCACTTGCTTCTCTTTCGCTGTCATATCGCCGAACAGCTTGAAAATTGGCGGCGTCAAGTCAGGTATAGATACCGTTGCGCCTGATGGCCCCTTCCTGGCCTTGATGCAGTGGAACAGGATTTTTTTGCCGGAGTTGTCCCTGAGGAAGTATTGCCCAGGCAGCCTCCCTTCCACTTTCCCCGGCAGGTCGATGTATCTCACACCGTCGACTCGCGGTAATAACCCCTTCTCGTACATGTTGAAGAATTTCTCTACTAGTGGCCATACTGTTTCGCCGCATTGCGCAAGATTCATGTATCCGCGCATCTTGTTCGTCCAGTCCTTGCAGTAGTCGTTCTCCAAGGACGAGTTCATGAGACCGGAATCAAGTGTCATTTTGCAGGCGGCGTTCATGAACTCTTCCCATTTCTTTTTCCGTTTCATCCCCTCAACGTCATTCGGGGACACGGTCCCCGGCGGACGGATCCGACCATTCCTCTTATCCCAAAATATTCTGATTTGGCGCACAGATGACGAAAACGATCTCGGGATCGAACACTCCTCCCTCGTGTTGTCGAACGTCGATACGTACGGATATCCTCTCTTTCTGTCATCGTAAAAGTAGACAACACGTACGTGAGAGTATGACCTCAAGCCATACATTTTTTTGGCCGGTGACTTGTCTTTAATGAGTCTGTTCATTGCCTCAGCCGTGTGCTGGCCAGCGACAACATACCAATTGTATGTATGAGCCAGTTCGACGTCGAATTGCTCCGGTGTGATCCGTCTGCCTTGAGACCCGTCCCTGTTGGGCACAATGGGAGACAGGATGAAAGTCATGAAATCCCACTTCCCGTTGGTTTTCTTGGCCGCATGATGAATCGCATCATATATGGACTGCACCAACGTTCTATGGTTGAAGAGGATGTCACCTTCAGGGATTGACAAGATCTCCGTGACGTCCACTTCAATGTGTTCCCTTTTCTTCTTTGCAAACCCATCTTCATCGAACCACAAGAAGAAGCACCGTGTTGTGTCGATGGCTTCATCACGGGTGTCGGCGGAAGGTTGTGTATGTTCCGACACATCTCTTGGAGGAACCCCTTCGGCATCCTCTCCAGAGTCACCCTCATCCACCATCTGCTTTCTTTTCGGTGGACGTTTCTCCGCTTTTGTTGCCCTTGTCGACGCGGACCTTTTTCGTTTCTTCACGCTTTCAGCGACCTCCTCTTGAGAAGCTTTGAGTGTCTATCGAGGTGCAGCGACAGTGAGTTTCTTCGTAGCGCGCTTATCCGCCGCCACCGTTGGACTTGTTGAAGATTGTCGCTTCCTTTTCTGGACACTGGCCTCCGACCGCTCTCCTGTTGCGTCGTCGACCCCACATCAGCCGACCGCTCTTGCCATCCATCGTCATCACCTACAGGATAGGCATGATCGTTTTCTCGATCGCCCCCGTCGTCCTCCTCATAGTATTGTTGAGACTCCCCACCCTCGCAGTCGTGCATAGTTTCCTCACGATCCTCTCTCTCTCTCTCTCTCTCTCGCTGTTCTCCTCTTCGACGTCATCCTCTTCGACACCACATTCGTCATCGTCGACGGCATGATTACCCTATGGATGTCGATCAACACATACCCTAGAATCATCCTCCGTTTCCTCGTCCGATCCTTCGCTTATCTCCCGCAGCACCGCCTTCCTGAACGCACCACCTTCGTCCTTCTGGCAACTAGGAGAGGGACGAGTTGCCAGGGCCTTCCTTTTGTATGTGATGACAGGGGTGCCTTGGTCTTGCCGACTGGACGGTTGAGACGGTCCAGCACACTCCATCCGGCGGGACGAACCCACAGGAGGACCATGCTCATCCTCGCCTGGTGGACGACGCGGCTGGCTCTGTTTGTTGCGGCGCCGGCCCCCACTCGCTGACGTCTGCTGCGTTGGAAAACTATGTGGCGTCCTTTGTCTCTCTGTCATTGCTATACCGGGAAGATCCTCGTCCGGCGTGTCAAAAGGCACGAATGTCGGGGACATACGATGGCCGGCCTCAACCGTGGGACTGTTTCCGGATCTCCTATAGCCGTTCGTCTGGGCGAGGAATTTAACGGGGCCAAGCATCGTCAACACACTCCCGTCTTCTTTCGCGGACACATCGAAGGCTTTCATGGTAATAGCTTTACCACCATACCCCTTGAACAAATTGGAATCAAGGCTCACTTTACGGTCGGTCTTTGCATGATCCACTCCTTGTTCGTCGAACACCGTTGTGAGGAAAAACCTCCTGAACTTCCGTCCGTGCCCGTCCACCCTCTCATCCTCGGATTTAACAATCCCTCCAACACAGAACCAGTCGTCACCCGAGGCGTTCTTCAAAAACACAGTGGCCCCACATCCCGCCTCGTGTAGCCCCCCCACCCAATCAAGGGCCCACTCCCTATCTCTATAGGTTGTGCACGTGTTGTAGACTCTCCTTTTTGGGACAGCAGATGCTCCTCCTGATGGTAGGCACATTCCAAACGAAGGAACGGATCGCATTCAGATTCCAAGCCTTCCACCATCGCCTCACGTGAGTCGTCGACGCAGCCGAGCGTCGCATGGCACAGGGCGTTCTGAAAACGCCGTACCCCGTCCGGTTCTGCGAAGCAAGGGCGAGGTGGCACGGCGTTTCGAAAACGACGTACTCCCTCCCGCCATCGGAGACGAGAGGGAGGGTGGTCCAACGATCTCGAAACGGCGCACCCGTCGGCCCTGTCCGCCTACGGGGCCGGGCTACGGCGTTCTGGGAAACGGCCATCTCGAGAGGGAGGGGTGGTACAACGATCTCAAAACGCCGCACCCGTCGGCCCTGTCCACCTACGGGGCCGGACAGGGTACGGCGTTTTCGAAACGCCGTACCCCATCGACTTTGTTCACAAACAGCGCGGAGGGGGTACGACGTTTCCAAAACGCCGTACCCCCTTCGGGTGCCAGGAGGCCAAAGGAGCGGAGGTACGACGTTTCGAGAACGTCGTACCCCCGCTCCCACTCCCCAGCGAGAACCGGAGGGGGTACAACGTTTTCGAAACGCCGTACCCCCTCGACCCTGTTCACATACAGGCCCGATGTGGCACGGCGTTTTGAAAACGCCGCACCCCCTTCGGTTGCCGGGTTGGGGAGGGAGCGGGGGTACGGCGTTTCGAGAACGCCGCACCCCCTCTCCCACCTCCACCAAGAACCAGAGGAGGTACGGCGTTTTGGAAACGCCGTACCCTCTCGACCCTGTTGACGTACAGGGCCGACGGGGTACGGCGTTTTGAAAACGCCGTACCCCCTTCGGTTGCCGGCCGGGGGTGGGAGAGGGGATGCGGCGTTTCGAGAACGCCGCATCCCCTCTCCC